GATTTTTCGTACTCATATGATGCTTTGTAACTATACAGTTATTTATAGTATCTAAAATATGTCCATTAAAATTGTTTAATGCTGCCGAGGGATTACTGGTTTCAAATAAACCAGTCCATTCGTTGATAGATAATAATTGAACTACTTTATTATAGTTTATATATGATGCAGTATTATTATTTCTACTATCTATATTATGTTTTTTAATATTCGGCGATATTATCAAACTACTTATGATTGTGTAATGATTCGTTATACTGGTTTTAATTACAACAGTATTAAGATGCACATCTCTACTAAATAAGTGATCAATACAGGATTTGGTTTCATTAACCTCTCTAGTGTACGTACAGATTTGAGAGATAAATCCATTTGAGGGTAATATATTTAAGTAATTTTCGGTACTTAAAGACGTATTTAATTCTAATATGTCAATATTAATATCACCAATCCATAAACAATTATTTTCTAAGACACCTGAGGTAAGTAAAGTATTCAGTTCAGATAGAAAAATGTTTATATTCGATTTTGGGGTGACGACTATAATTAGTAACTGAACAAATAACTATAAATTATTATATAAATATTAATATATTAAATACCCATAAATCATAATTTAAATTCCTAATACTTATATTTAACAAATGCGTAGATAAAATAAAATATGTATTCTTAAAAAATAAAGTATAACAACTACTATTAGTATGAAAAAATGTATAAGTAAGATATTTAAATTGACATGTATAAAATGTAATTATAAATTACAAAGTAAAGTGTATTGTTTTGGTGAAGCAATGGGCACAGGACAATAACCTAAATTTATATTTTCCAAAGCTGAAATATTTTTTTTTTTTTTTTTAGTACAACATTTTATACTCGCGTATAATATTATAATAACTATTGTGATGATTAAATATTTGTTTGTATATACAAATTCATACGTCTTATTTAATAATATTGAATTTAGTAATTCATCTTGTGTATTTAACTTTGAAATAATTTTTATAAAAGCTTGTTTGTCGAATTTTAAATTTTTTATTTCATCTAAATGAGTGGGTTTTGGATAACGTTGATTAAGTGTAATATTGCAACATGCATCATTTAAAATACTTAAATCTAAAGGTAGTGTTGCAAAAGACGATTCTACTGTTTGATCTGTTATTAATACGCCTTTAGTAGTATGAGAAAATTTTTTCTAGAAACGTAAGAAGCCCGATTTTTGATATCTTGTTCCAATCGTCCAATATCGCATGGTAAATAAACACGTTTTTTAACTTTTTATCAATTAATTATTTAACTAATTAATACAAATATCGAAAATCGGACTTCTTACTTTTCTAGAAAAAATTCTCTTCTACAATTTTTGTAATAGGTATTTATACCGTAAAACGCTTCAATAAGCCGTATTCCTGGTAGTACTAAACCATGTTTTTATGCCATATTTTGTCTACTGTGACATTCTCTTAAAACCGATTATTGAATACCTACCTACTGTTAAATTGCCTCCATAATTGGTAGTTTTTTTTTTATCCAATTGTTCGTATGGGTCATGTTACCAAATGTTAATTTGATATTTTATCGTTATAAGTAGCGAAATATTTAAAATCATGATGCAATGTAACTTCTTGTATATATTAAATTTCAGGTGACAAAAAAAAAATAAAAATATGATTAATGTAATAAGTGCGATTTCCTTATATTTTAAACACTCATGTTGTATATATTATAAATCTTATACTAATTACTACATATCTAAAGTATATATTTATATTAACAGGCGATAAATACAAATTAAAATTGAAATTATAAAACGTTTAACCATTTTCTTACCTATGTTATTTATTTATTTTCTCGATTTTTTAATTTTTTTAGTTGACTAACGTGTTTATAGTTGTTAATTAACTGCACATTCTTAGTTATTTCCACTACGTATGTAACATCTGATACCTATTTGTCGTACAATTTTGAATGGCCCCCCCGTATCTGTATGCAAATTTTGACCCTTTATTTTCTGTCTTTACTAATACTTTTTCCCCTACTACAAATCTGATTTGTTTTTGGCGTGAATAATAATATTTTTTATTTTTTAGAAACTTTTCCTCCAGTAATTTTGGTAACTCGTCTCTTATGTTATTTACTTTTTCTAATTCGTTTAAAATTTCTGGTGCTGTATCTGTGCTAATTAGATTATAATCGAAAATTGATTTTGGATGATAACCGTGCAATAGATAAAATGGGGATTGATTCGTTGTTTCATTGACCAATGTGTTATATCCGAAAAGTACGTATTTTAAATATTGATTCCAGCAATTTGTTTTTTCTTGTACAAAATGACTTATCATATCGATTAAAGTACCATTAAACTTTTCGGTTTGTCGTTGACTCTGGGGGCTGTAAGCTATTGAGTTAGTTTTTTGTATATTCAGTGCTTTTAATAAGTCTTTTACTAATTTATTTGTAAAGTGTAACCTCCTATCTGAATGTACTTCCCTTATCGCCCCAAATTGTATTATTACGTCTATAAGAAAAGCTACCGTTGATTTTGAGTCAGCATGTTTATATGCCTTAGCAATGGCATATTTTGTAGTCGCGCATGTGCCTACGAAAATGTATGAATATCCATTACTTGGCGGGTTTATTGGCCCTATATAGTCGATAGTGAACCTCTCGAAGGGCCTTCCTGTTATTTTTGGTGATGTTAACATATGACCGTACGTTGCAGTTTTATCGGCCTTTCGTTTTTGGGAAAGATACTGAACGTAATGCCGCACCTAATACACGGTATACGAATACCCTCGTGCGTTTTTTCGTGTCTTGTCAGATTACGTTTCGCTGTAAATTCCGAAGCACATTTGCTGCATTTGAACAATTTCGAATGTGTTTTTCGGTGAGCGATCAGATTTGACTCGTATACGAATCCCAAAGAACATTGCTCGCATTTAAACATTTTAAAATAAACGGATAAGAAAAAATTAATACGTTATATAATAATTACGTGCGTAGTATTAGCGCAGAGCAAACGAGATGTAGGTTAATATAATAGAGCACTATATCACCAACTGCGGACAGTAATGAATAGTGACTATTCATTCATTCAAAAATCCCTACCGCCGCCGCCACCACCGCCGCCACCGCCGCTGCCACCACTGATCCCCGTCACGTGACAAAATACAGAGTCGTCGGATTGTCCTATATATCGGGTGTACTAATATCCGTATGGTATAGTGTTCAAACCATCTGTTAAAAAAAACTATGAAATCGGGCTCAAACGTATAACGGAAGACTGTATAGTTACCTTTTCTAGATGAGATATACTTTTCGCATGCAGGGAAATATATTTACAATTAAATATTCCAATTTTCTAATATACCATACCCGTAAGTCCAATCCCTAAACATCATTAATCTATCTAAACTTAAATTACCTAATTCTACATTTAAATTATATACACTATTATTATTATAACTATGAATACGAGTACTACGATTATTATATACAGTATCACTTAAGGCTAAATCTAAATATTCTAAATTATTAATAATATATATGCTAGGCCCCATTTTTTTTTGAAAAATTCTAAACAATAAAAGATCCCAATAATTTTTAGCTATACATGAACTCCTTAATTCTAAATTTCTAATATCATAATTTACACAACGTCTTATTTTTAAAAATACCTCCTCCCAATAATCCCTACTTGTATCTTGTAACCGCATCACACTCCCGGATAACAAATTATCATTCCAGATAATGTGACCATGGTTGTCTACTAATTGGTAGGTTTGCTGAAATATTTTCCGGAAAAAATTATCGAAGTCACGATGCGAATATATTTTTAACTCCGGCTTAATAAAACTTAAATTTGTAATTATTGAAGGGTTTATATTTAAATTAAATTTAGCGTATACAAATTCCCGCCATTCTACGCTCGTGGACATATGGTATTTTTTATGAAAATTTTTTTTTTCCCTGCATGCTTCACAATTCCATTCGAAATGACGGTGATTGTCTAATGACGCCTCGCAATGAGACGTCATTAGACCCTCTAGAGAGGTATGAAAATACCTCTCGATTACTTCTAAGACTTTAAAAAATAAAAATAAAAATAAAAATCCTGGATATAAATATTAGGCAATGATACTTCATTGCCAATGAATATCCTACAATAAATAAAACTCACTTTTATTATTAATATTATTATTGGCGGAGATGATGATGATGATGATGATGTGTGCTAATGACCGCAAATTCGAATCTATATAATAAATATTATAATATAAAAAATGAGTGTATACAGAAAATTATATCTGCGAACCATATACGATTTAAGGACATATAATAATAATTTTTTTTTTTTGCTTTATGGGCCATTTAGGCCTTTCGCAGCTTCTGATAATCCTCTCCACAAATTACGGTCATTAGCAGTCTCAATGTCTGCAGTTCCGTTTATCATCCTTATGTCTACATTGACTCTATCTTCCCACCGTTGTCTAGGTCTTCCCCTGGGGCGCTTGCCAGCTGGTTTATTTATCAGTACCTCCCGAATTATACTACCTTCCGCGCGCCACGCATGACCCGCCCATTCTAAATGCTTGGAATTCAAAAAGCATTTAATACTTTTTTTATTTTACAAAGATTCAAAGTGCTATTTTTCCTCCTTTTGTAACGTTCTGGTACTTGGGTACCTACTATTGTTTGATAATAGTAGACAAGTGGCTACCAGTACGTTAATGTTGCAAGTCGCAGACACTTTTTCAGATAATATAGTGGTGGTTGATGAATGAATAATATAACAGTTGTTGTATAATTGTAAATTTTATTATAACACTCTATAATTTTACTAAGTTCAAATATTGTTGTACAGAGTGGCGTGAAGGTGCTTGCACTAATGTTTCCACTATTTTGTGCATTATTTGCATACATACAATAATACGACGGAAATTGCATAGGTAAATTCATAAATGAACATGGTAAAGTAACACCAGCTGTCCAATTAGGAGTTAGGTATAGGTATAGGTATCGCAATATGTTTCCATAATCCCTTGGTTGGAAGCCGACGCTTCGAGAAATCCGACGAAGTCCACGTCGGCCGTACTTGCTCCAATATGTTCCTCGAACGAGGAAGGAGCACCTACAAGATCCGCCGGAGTAGCCGCATACGTGGCTGACGTGGACATGGTCGCCGTGTTCAGAGATGATGTAGAAGTGGGAGGGGGGGTACATTTCAATAAGTCGGTCCAGCTCAAACAAACATTTCTGAACTCCGCCAACTCCACCAGGCACAATAATTCGGCTGACATATCTAATTAAAAAAAAAATATATTATATTATTATATATATATATATATATATATAATATATATATAAATTATAAATATTACCTATGGATTCCACTGACAAACTTAGAAGCCAGTTCACGTCCAATTCGTTCGATGAGGTCGTCATACTTTTGCGCATCAGTTGATACAGTTGGGTCATAAGGTTCGGCTTCATGATCATCGTGTTCTCCCATATCACTTGAATAGGCTTGCTCATCCATTTATTCGGATGAATAACTGTTTCTACGACTTTCAGTGGACAAGTTACAAAAATAATCATTACCAACGAGAGGGCTGAATATTCGTTGGTCCGTGTCGGGAAAATCAGTTGACAAAAACTGAGGAGATCCGCCTCCTCGTCCAAATCCTTGCTCAGATTGTCCATCGCCCACGCTTTCAAGTTCACTAACTTCGTTGTCTTCATTTCCGTCTCCATATCTACTACTTCCTGGTCCTCTATTGTCACCGTCTCCGTGACTGGATTCACTATTGGTGCCACTGAAGTTTTCTTGGTCCTCGATTTTTTCGTTACTGACGGACCGGGACGTTCGTTTTTTCGCTTCTGACATCCATTGTTTGATGATGTCTCTTCGGAAGTTTTGCATGTTTCTCCAATAAAAGACATAATAAAATGTTCAATTTGTTCTAAAATACTCGTAAGAAGGTTGATACAAAACTATCGTAGACTTCGTTATTTTCTTAAAGAACAAAACGCACTGAACATAATGTGATCGATGCTCCTATTTATATCATACAAAACAATAGATTGTTATTGGTATTAAATATCATATCACTGATAATCTATGTACATTGTACTTAGTATTGGCGATTAAGTATTGCGCAATATGACGCGTGCGAAAGACGAGAGCTGGATGCTTGCTCAAATATTATAAAATAATATTTTCACTATGCTCGCCAACAGAGATATTTTCTTCCTCTAGGTTTAATAATGTGCTATAAAAGACACGTCTTGGTGTATTTGATAGCTATAATATATATAATCTGTATTATTATTTTTAATTATAATATGGAAATAATTTTACTTACCGTTTTATCAAACTCCCCATTCGCTAAGAAATCAATGAATCCTGCTGATATATCTGGCGTATATTCTGACGATTGACTGCTGTTACACGACATTTTTAAATACTTTTGCACAACACCACGGTGACTTTACAAGTGTTGACTTAACAGTATACGAGCACTCGGTCGGAGTACAAATGTATGCGTGTGTGTGTTTGTGTGTGTGTGTGTGTGTGTGTGTTTGTTACCAGATAAAGGGACAAACATATTATTCCACCGCTTAACTGAAGCCGCTATTCCTAACACCCTTGATGAACACTGTCCATCGTCACTGTCCTCGTACATTATATTATCTGAATTTGATTCTAACAGTGAAGTTTCAGCTGCTGATTCTGTTAGTTTCGCTTTTTTTGTCCCGACTTGTGTGTCAATGTGTACACGCTTAATTAAAAAATATACACAAATATAAGCGCTTTTATATTGTTATATGTATCTATGTAGTTTATAGAAGTTTAATATTAAATATTATAATATCCAATTATAAACAAATATATAATTCTTACTTATAGTTACAGGTAATGCTGCTGGTACTACTGTTACTGTGGGCTGTTCATTAATCTTTAACATATCTAAAATGGAACAATACTCTATTATTTCAAACTTGAACACCGATATCACTATAACAATTTATGGTGCACTTAATTTCATAAAATAGTTGATTTATTTTAAATATCGTAGAATGAACGTCATATTATATTGACACGACAACTATGTACATACATTTGCATAATATACTAAACTCCTTAAATACAATCCAATAAGCCCGTCTAATCGCCTAAAGACGTCATCTAAATCCGCAGGTTCCTGCTCCTCTTCCGGTTGCTCGTCAACACTTAACACCAAATATGATAAAATAAAATAATAAATAATAATAATAATATTATTAAACTTACGGCGGAAATAGCAAAGGAATACCCAATTCATTTTGAGGACGACCGCGACGACCGAATCCTAATGTATTTATAAAAAAATATAAAAATACCACTTCGAAATTAAACATCTTGAAATAACACTATACCTTTTTAGTACAAATTACGGTACATACTGATTTAATAAAATAATTTGTCATTATTTTAATACATAGGAATGGAAGGGATTTTAAGTATGGATATGCTGGAAAACAAAAAACAGCGAAAAAAATATATATACAAGTGTGTGAGAAAACATCTTGCTTAGATAAGACAATATGCTTCATAAACATTTCCATGCAGATTTTTTGACCACCCTGTTGCATTTATATATATATATAGGTTATAGGTAATTATGTAATATAAATATGTGTGTACGCGTACTGTATGTACGTATAATGTATCAGAGGTGTAGTGACGGCGGCCTGATCTATGGCTGGGCGGAGAGTAGAGGAGGTGGCTGTGGCGGTGGCGGTGGCGGTGGACCACACCCAGGGACCCAGATACTACTTATACTCTCTAGACTTTATACCTAATATATACACAACTTTTAAATTTTACATACATATATCAGTAAACAATGGAACTAATGTTTTACTGTATTTGATAATTTAAAATGTAAAACCAACAAACATTTTTAAGACTATTATATCTTGCGCTCTATAAACTATAAAGAAAGCGCAATACGTACTAATCAGTTTATTAAATTTCAAATTATGCATTTCGACGCTTTTCATAAACCCTTCAATAACACCATCTGCTTCCATACCTGTTGCAGATTTATTCCAATTCATAAAACATTCAGAAGGTTTTTCGTTTTTTAGAGGCGGCATGGTGACAAATGACGCAATACCTATTTCTTATACCTATGAACAATACTTTTTTGGTTCTATATCCAATGATGGAAGCCTTAATAACAATATAAAAATGTAATACCTATATATTAGTTCTAATATTTAAAACTAAACATATGACAAAATGTATACGTACCACTCCAGATAGTGCATCATACTTTGTTTTGTAACTTCTTTTACACCATTGTCCGTCTGCTACTACTGTACACATTGGTTTTCTATTTTCATCGACCTCTCCAGCTTCTAATGCCAATTCCCGTTCTTCTTCTCCAGCTTTTCGTATTTCATAGTACTTAAATTACCGTGTACTTTTTAAAAGTAGTATTCGCAATACCTTGTATTTCTAATGCAGCGACAAACTCAGACAACTGTCGGTAACCAATACCTATCAGTTATCACATAAAAAGAAGTAAATATTAAATTAAATTATACACCATCATAATATTATATAGGAATAATATGTTAACTATTAGAATGTATTTTAAATTAATAAAATAAAATATTATAAAAAAAATAGTATCAACTGATATTGTTCCATTTATTACGGCTTGACTTATTGACATATAAGAATCATTATTATTGTCTTCTGAACTAATAATTTGTTGAATATTGCACATTTTACACTGAAAAATATACTTTGAATAAAATCCATATCGTTTTTCCTCAATAAACTCCATGTCATTGAATGTGCAGTCAAATCCACCTTCGTGTTTATTTGTTAGTTTAATTTGTTAAAAATGTAACCAATGTCCACAATTCTCCTACCAGTCAATACAGTTGTCGTGCATCTATATTAATAATTCTATTATGTGATTTAGAGTTTAAAATTAAAATGTTGTCTTAAAAATTGAAATGTTGTACGTACAACGGGTCTTTGTCTATACTTTCACAATGTAATTTATACGACGCAATATCTGCGGTATTATCTCCTTCATTAACAAATTGTTCTTGGTTAACCATCGAAATATTTTGGTTAATGTTGTCATTAAAAGATGTATCAGTGTGCCACCTTAAATTATTTTTATTCAAAATTATGTTACATTTATGTAATGGCATAGAAGTACACCTAAATGTATATTTAATAAACCAAAATAAAATAAATATTATAATTATTTAGTGAACAATTCAAGTATTTCCAGGATTTCGTTTTTTAGTTACACCAAAATTCAAGTCGATTGTATATAGGGGATGTTATTGTAGGTTCTATAGTAGACAGTACATTACCTACACATCTAAATGTATAATTTTTTTTTAATATACGACACATTTATTGTTATTTTTCCCAATTTAACTAGAAGTAACTTAGGTACAATAAATTCCAACGGGAGTCGTATGTCCTCTATGTGACGGTTCATCAGGTGGAGGAGGTATGTTCACATCTATGCCAATCGTTGAACAAATTGAACCTTGCCTATGGATAGGAGCAGATCGTATTGCTTCCATATCGAAACATGGTACTAGAAGATCATCAGATGTTCCTGTTGCGGGCCAGTAGCCCATTCCCCACACGGCATCAGCTAGTGAGCCGGGAGATTCAGCAGTGATTGAAAACTGGCTGATTGATGATAATCTGTACATGGGATAGAAGGCCTGGCCTTCATACCGTACCATATGGGAAGGCAATTGTTGAAAGAACATAGATGACGTGACGTAGAAGATGGCAGCTAGGCCATGGTCGTCGTGTGGCTGTCGTGGCGAACGGACGTGTTTGTGTGTCGCTCTCGCGAAAAACCGTTTCTACAGTGGAAATAGTCAACCGTTTTTTGCAAACCAGGTACCAATCGACGCAGAATTCAACGCGTTTGATCGACGTGCGAAGATCGGTTGAATTTTAACCGAGGAATCTCATTTCTTGTGTCCCACAAGTGTATCGAGCTACTGTGTTACGCATTACTTGTTTTTCCGATAAAAAGTGAGCGTTCGGGCCGGTGTCGATTTTGACTCGGCCCGATTAAGACCCACTGCACCCTCCCGAAGGGCTCGGTGCTTCGCGCGTCCATCCCGGACCCCTCGGTGCCGAGCAAACACGGAGGATAAGCCCCTGCGCCGCCGGGAAGTTTGCAACCGCAATTTACGCGGCAAGTTCGCGAGCGGTGGCTGAAAAGACACGCGGCTGAAGAAGACGAAGCCAGGGACACTTCGTCCGCATCGGTCCGACGCTTAGTTGGTGAGTAATCGCTCTTTTTCTTAACTCCCTATCCTTTTACACGGCCGCCCAAAGCCGCCGTGTGAAAAACGGGAATTCCGAAGAATCAGCTATTTCTCGCGTCGGGGGAAGAGCTGCTACCTAGATAACGCGTCGGGGAAGAACTGCTCCCTTGATAAGGCGCGACGGGGACCAACCGACGGCGTGTGGAGAAGTGACAGTCGATTGTATATAGGGGATGTTATTGTAGGTTCTATAGTAGACAGTACATTACCTACACATCTAAATGTATAATTTTTTTTTAATATACGACACATTTATTGTTATTTTTCCCAATTTAACTAGAAGTAACTTAGGTACAACAAATTCCAACGGGAGTCGTATGTCCTCTATGTGACGGTTCATCAGGTGGAGGAGGTATGTTCACATCTATGCCAATCGTTGAACAAATTGAACCTTGCCTATGGATAGGAGCAGATCGTATTGCCTCCATATCGAAACATGGTACTAGAAGATCATCAGATGTTCCTGTTGCGGGCCAGTAGCCCATTCCCCACACGGCATCAGCTAGTGAGCCGGGAGATTCAGCAGTGATTGAAAACTGGCTGATTGATGATAATCTGTACATGGGATAGAAGGCCTGGCCTTCATACCGTACCATATGGGAAGGCAATTGTTGAAAGAACATAGATGACGTGACGTAGAAGATGGCAGCTAGGCCATGGTCGTCGTGTGGCTGTCGTGGCGAACGGACGTGTTTGTGTGTCGCTCTCGCGAAAAACCGTTTCTACAGTGGAAATAGTCAACCGTTTTTTGCAAACCAGGTACCAATCGACGCAGAATTCAACGCGTTTGATCGACGTGCGAAGATCGGTTGAATTTTAACCGAGAAATCTCATTTCTTGTGTCCCACAAGTGTATCGAGCTACTGTGTTACGCATTACTTGTTTTTCCGATAAAAAGTGAGCGTTCGGGCCGGTGTCGATTTTGACTCGGCCCGATTAAGACCCACTGCACCCTCCCGAAGGGCTCGGTGCTTCGCGCGTCCATCCCGGACCCCTCGGTGCCGAGCAAACACGGAGGATAAGCCCCTGCGCCGCCGGGAAGTTTGCAACCGCAATTTACGCGGCAAGTTCGCGAGCGGTGGCTGAAAAGACACGCGGCTGAAGAAGACGAAGCCAGGGACACTTCGTCCGCATCGGTCCGACGCTTAGTTGGTGAGTAATCGCTCTTTTCCTTAACTCCCTATCCTTTTACACGGCCGCCCAAAGCCGCCGTGTGAAAAACGGGAATTCCGAAGAATCAGCTATTTCTCGCGTCGGGGGAAGAGCTGCTACCTAGATAACGCGTCGGGGAAGAACTGCTCCCTTGATAAGGCGCGACGGGGACCAACCGACGGCGTGTGGAGAAGTGACAGTCGATTGTATATAGGGGATGTTATTGTAGGTTCTATAGTAGACAGTACATTACCTACACATCTAAATGTATAATTTTTTTTTAATATACGACACATTTATTGTTATTTTTCCCAATTTAACTAGAAGTAACTTAGGTACAACAAATTCCAACGGGAGTCGTATGTCCTCTATGTGACGGTTCATCAGGTGGAGGAGGTATGTTCACATCTATGCCAATCGTTGAACAAATTGAACCTTGCCTATGGATAGGAGCAGATCGTATTGCCTCCATATCGAAACATGGTACTAGAAGATCATCAGATGTTCCTGTTGCGGGCCAGTAGCCCATTCCCCACACGGCATCAGCTAGTGAGCCGGGAGATTCAGCAGTGATTGAAAACTGGCTGATTGATGATAATCTGTACATGGGATAGAAGGCCTGGCCTTCATACCGTACCATATGGGAAGGCAATTGTTGAAAGAACATAGATGACGTGACGTAGAAGATGGCAGCTAGGCCATGGTCGTCGTGTGGCTGTCGTGGCGAACGGACGTGTTTGTGTGTCGCTCTCGCGAAAAACCGTTTCTACAGTGGAAATAGTCAACCGTTTTTTGCAAACCAGGTACCAATCGACGCAGAATTCAACGCGTTTGATCGACGTGCGAAGATCGGTTGAATTTTAACCGAGGAATCTCATTTCTTGTGTCCCACAAGTGTATCGAGCTACTGTGTTACGCATTACTTGTTTTTCCGATAAAAAGTGAGCGTTCGGGCCGGTGTCGATTTTGACTCGGCCCGATTAAGACCCACTGCACCCTCCCGAAGGGCTCGGTGCTTCGCGCGTCCATCCCGGACCCCTCGGTGCCGAGCAAACACGGAGGATAAGCCCCTGCGCCGCCGGGAAGTTTGCAACCGCAATTTACGCGGCAAGTTCGCGAGCGGTGGCTGAAAAGACACGCGGCTGAAGAAGACGAAGCCAGGGACACTTCGTCCGCATCGGTCCGACGCTTAGTTGGTGAGTAATCGCTCTTTTTCTTAACTCCCTATCCTTTTACACGGCCGCCCAAAGCCGCCGTGTGAAAAACGGGAATTCCGAAGAATCAGCTATTTCTCGCGTCGGGGGAAGAGCTGCTACCTAGATAACGCGTCGGGGAAGAACTGCTCCCTTGATAAGGCGCGACGGGGACCAGCCGACGGCGTGTGGAGAAGTGTTGGCGGCCAAGTGACGGCGCTATCCGTCCTTTGGCGGCAAATGTAAATTTGCCTCCAAAAACTGTTTTTCGGGGATAACTCGTCGGGGATCGATCTCAGAGCTTCGGGAGAAAAATTTTGCCCTCCCGAAATCCCCTATCCTACCAGGACGATCCCCGACAAGTTCCCGCAGGTTTGACCCCCCTACCCCCCCAGGGGAGGAGCAAGGATATTGACAGTGAGAAGTGTGACGCCTGGTTAGGTTAGGTTAGGTATACCTTCGGATTTGGTCCCTGCACTGCTTCACTACTCACTACCGAACGGAGAAGTGGTAGTAACAAAGGGGGCAAGGGTCGCAGGACCTTCCCCTTGCCATGAACTCCCAGAGTGCCTCTGGCGGCAAGCCAACAGACTCAGATGCAGGCAGCGAGCCAGACCACTCGGCTACTAGCACGCTGGAGCATCTCGAGGGCAAAGACACGGGTCTCTTCAGAATGCTCAAGGCGGAGGTGGAGTCCCTGAAAGACCTGGCCAAGCGCACTCAGGTAAAAGGACTCAAGGAGAGCGTCGACACGGTGTGGAACATCATAGGCTCTATTGAGAGTAATAACGTTGAGCTTAAAGTGGCAAGGAACCAGCAAGCAGGCAACAAGCTCGTAGTCGTTGATGCGAGGGAAGTTGTGGCGATCCTTACACAGACCTTGAACACGACATAATACATAATAATCATAATCGTAGTACTCGTATTCATAGTTATAATAATAATAGTGTATACGAATCCCAAAGAACATTGCTCGCATTTAAACATTTTAAAATAAACGGATAAGAAAAAATTAATATGTTATATAATAATTACGTGCGTAGTATTAGCGCAGAGCGAACGAGATGTAGGTTAATATAATAGAGCACTATATCACCAACTGCGGACAGTAATGAATAGTGACTATTCATTCATTCAAAAATCCCTACCGCCGCCACCACTGATCCCCGTCATGTGACAAAATACAGGGTCGTCGGATTGTCCTATATATCGGGTGTACTAAGATCCGTATGGTATAGTGTTCAAACCATCTGTTAAAAAAACTATGAAATCGGGCTCAAACGTATAACGGAAGACTGTATAGTTACCTTTTCTAGATGAGATATACTATTCGCATGCAGGGAAATATATTTACAAACTATACATAAAAATAAATATTCGTAAAATAATTAAATTATACAGTAGGCTAACACTAAAATTAAATAATACAATCTTTAGTTTACAAACAATACATAAATATTTATAGAATAAAGCTAAGTAACATTTAACCAATATTCCAATTCTCCAATAAACCATACCCGAAAGTCCAATCCCTTAACAACATTAATCTATCTAAACTTAAATTACCTAATTCTACATTTAAATTATATACACTATTATTATTATAACTATGAATACGAGTACTACGATTATGATTATTATGTACAGTATCACTTAAGGCTAAATCTAAATATTCTAAATTATTAATAATATATATGCTAGGCCCCATTTTTTTTTTGAAAAATTCTATACAATAAAAGATCCCAATAATTGTTCGCTATACCTGAACTCCTTAATTCTAAATTTCTAATATCATAATTTACACATCGTCTTATTTTTAGGAATACCTCCTCCCAATAATCCCTACTTGTATCTTGTAACCACATCACACTCCCGGATAACAAATTATCATTCCAGATAATGTGACCATGGTTGTCTACTAATTGGTAGGTTTGCTGAAATATTTTCCGGAAAAAATATTCGAAGTCACGATGCGAATATATTTTTAACTCCGGCTTAATAAAACTTAAATTTGTAATTATTGTCGGGTTTATATTTAAATTAAATTTCGCGTATACAAATTCGCGCCATTCTACGCTCGTGGACATATGGTATTTTTATGAAAAATTTTTTTTTTTCCCTGCATGCTTCACAATTCCATTCGAAATGACGGTGATTGTCTAATGACGCCTCGCAATGAGACGTCATTAGACCCTCTAGAGAGGTATGAAAATACCACTCGATTACTTCTAAGACTTTAAAAAATAAAAATAAAAATAAAAATCCTGGATTTAAATATTAGGCAATGATACTTACTCGATTCAGCGTCCATAGTATGCAAAGTATCGCGTTGATCATTGCGTGTTATGAGCTAGTGATACGACGTTTGGAGTACAACTAATTCTAGTTCGTAATATATGTTTTTGATGAGAAAAAGTATATTTCTATAACTATGAAGAGCATTGTCTATGAACTATCGTAATCAGGCAAATTTTTACATTATCACTATATATATATAGTTATATGCGGAGGAAGATTTCCAGCCTCTGCTCAACAAACTTGTAGCATGTAGTATCAGTTGTGCGGTGTACATCATATGGTTTAACGAGATATAGTTAGCTACATGAAGGTGGTGTATAAAATATATATATATATATATACCTGTATATATTATAAATAGGTGCAAATATTGTAGAAAGAAGAATGTTATACGTAAGGGGAAAAAAAAAAATAACGCGGTGAATAGTTGTAAAGAAGCGTTTATTAGTACCTGTATATACATCGTTAATTTATCTACAAATTTTGTACTATATTAAATATTTTAACAGCTACTTCCCTACATTCTGCTGTACCTAATACATCTTCATAATATCTAGAACCATGGATTTTTACTAACTCGTCCATACTAGTCCATACCTGCAAGCGACGCCCACAAATGTCACATTTTTTAAATTGTCGTATATAACGTAGTAAGGTAGGGTCATCATATACATGCTGTGTAAAGAAATGTTCTCTTTTTATTCCTACTCCATATGACCCCTTTGACTAGAATCATCTATGATTTTATATGTCACGTGGCACTTGGAAGGTTGCATGGTTCTGGCTGTAAGTACCTGGTACACTGTATCAACAACTATAATACATTTTTATAAAATATAACATATTATATTATGCATTTCACCTTAACTAATCATTTTTACATATTTTATCACATTATTATATCCCCTTACCACTAATACATTGTTTTTACTATTTAATCAACGTTATTATATTCATTTTGTTTAATATATCATCTTGTATTAAATACATTATTTTCTTATACCTATATACAAAAACATAATTTTCACATATACATTCTACATTAATATATTTATTATTTATGTTTTCTTACAAATGAAACATAATTTATGTTATACATGAGACATGATAGGTAATCATTATTGTTCTTTACATTACACATCTTTTTTATATTATTTTATATAAAACATATATTTTTCATATCCTTATTTTCTAATATTAAAACTAATACATTTTTTTTATTTTTTTTATTCATGATTCCACATATAATTAATACTTACACAATATTTTTTTTTTGTATATTTTTTTTATACATATTTCTTTTTGACGTATTTTTCCTGCAACTCAAACATAATTTATTTTATAAATTAATTATATATTATGGTTGTTTATACACCTCTATCCCTGTTATATTGTTTCTATTTCCCAGATTTTGATTCGGCTCGGAGTGTCCCTGTTGATATGAATTTTGAAACTGAGATCTACCATCAATAGTGTTTTGTGCATTATTACCATCATAATTATAATTATAACCCGTGTGACCAGTATTTTGAAAAAAATTATTGTTGTTATATCTACCAACATCCTGATTACCATTATTATTTGCATGGTCTGTATTACCTAACCAGTTACTACTACCATTAATGTTTGGACTAAAATTGTTATGCCTAAAATCTACGTTTGGTAAACAATTATTATAACTACTGTTGCTCCAACTACCGTTTCCTTTTCCGTAGTCTGTGTTTTGACAACAATGATAACTATTTGAACAATTTTTACCTTTTGGTTCCGCATCGGTATTATCATTAACCTTAAGTGATATAATAAAATTTTTTAGGTAGTTTACCTCCTCAGTAAGTTTTTTCACTCCCATACTAGGTTTTTCCTTGCTCCCTAACAATTTCGCCAACTCACACTTTATGCTTCCGGTGTCTTATCTCCACCCATTGGTCGAAAAAATGTAGAGTATCCAAGCCATGTGCCACCTTGCCATGATCGCCACCATACCCTATGTCGTATATGCACTTTCCAGTGATATACCTCTATCGACACTTGAGCAACCAAGAGACCATAAATTAACCGGTTACAGTTTGGCTCTCTTAGACGTCGATATCGCTACCTTACTGTTTAGACTTTCAATCTTCAACGACCATAAATTAACCGGTTTCAGATCAGATTGAAAGAATACAATTAACGTAGGACTACCTTCACCGTTTATACTTTAAATCGTCAACGACCATAAATTAACCGGTTTCAGATCGGATTTAAAGCGTACGTAGAATTGCGTGGCTACTCAAACAAAACAAATAATTTTCGCGTCAGAAACACTTTTATTAAAAATGTAAAACAAATATAAATAATTCAATAATTATTTAAAAACACTTAGTCTATACTACGACTGTCGTACCTGCGTTCTCGCTGAAACACCAGCGATAACGGGACTCCCCGTGCCTGCGAGTCCGGTGGTGTTATATAGCAAAATAATTATTGCTGCCTCAGCACATCTTGCTTCATTGGCCTGACCTATGTTAATAATTTATAATAAAAATGTTCCCTCCTATATTATATGTAATTATAGTGACGACTGTCTACATATACGACACCCTACTTCATAAGGACAACGACACGAACGCACAACCTACCGCCCGTCAGCTCGCCGAAACATCCTACCGCATTGTTAGGGACTTATGTGGTTCACGTGCGTGATTGGTATGAATGCATGCAACCGGTCAATGCCTTAATCGATTCCGGTTCGCAGATAAGTATCATGTCAGTTCCATATATTATGTCAAACGGTTGGGGTTGAAGTGTAATAGGTGGACTGTTCCGTTGATGGGTGTGTCCGGTGCAGCACGAAGCTCCCGGGTTTGACGTCATCCGACAGGCCTTGCGGCCAGTCTTCCGACTACAACTACGGACCTTATATTAGCACTAAGTGCTAGTCAAGGGCCGTAGAGGCATACGACCGCCAACCGACGGACCCTCCCCACACTGCTGCATGGCCAGAGGACCGCCGGAGACTGACGACCGCACGTCGTCTAAGGACCACGAGCACCGGACGCACACGGAGGAGTTCCCCGGCGCGCCCGTACCATCCGGCTAGGGCATACAGGTGCCTTTCGCCACCTTGGTGGGGCCGCAATCTATCCACTTTGCTTTCCGTTTTTGGTCACGGACAACCTTCGCTTCATATAGCTCCAACGATAAGCTGGGTGAGCGCTAAGGAGGGACCGTGCTTTCTCGGCCGACTGTTGCCGTACGGGTCCGCCCGGCACCATCACTCGGCAACTTTCCCCTGACCAAGCGTGTGGTCTATTACCACATAGTATGCTCCTGCAAACTGCCACTCCGAAACCAATCCGCCGTCTCTCGATGCAGTGTCCACCACGACCGACGTGTGAGGGCTCGGTGTTAATCTCTCAACACCGAGGGGCCCCCTCACATCCCGAAGCACCATTCTCGCTCCCCGTTAGGTGAAGCACATCATTGGTGGGATGCTCGGACGAAGCTTCGTCGGCGGCTAGCCTCAGCTTATGGTCCTACCGAGATTCGGGCCGTGTACCACGGGCTCACGGTGGGCCCAGTGTCGGGTGCAGCAGTTCTACAGGTAAAAGGTCGACTTGGCTGCCTGCTTACGTCCAGGTATAATGACGAGCATTCCATCAAGCTAAATGCGTGGGAAATACCTAAAATAACCAGTGACAGGCCATCACCACAGTTGCCGCCGCAACTGGTGAACAAGTCTTCCCACTTGCCGTCAGCTGACCCGCAGTTTGCTTGCCCTGCTCCAGTCGAGTTATTATTAGGAGCTGACGAATTTTCCTGAGTTATGGATGGGAAACATGTTCTACTGGATCACTTGTTACCTGCGGCCTATGGATCGATTTTTCGATGTATCGTTATCGGTCCTGTTTCCGAGGTGGAACCTGATACTTATCGGTATCACGTTGCTGTCACCCTTTCGGTGTCCCTTGAGGACATGGTCCATCGTTTCTGTCAAGTGGAAGAACCCGATACAGCTCCGGTCATGTCCCATGACGAGGGCCAATGTGAAGCTGTATATAGCACCGAGCGGTATCGTGACATAAATGGAAGATATGTAGTTCCTATGCCGTTCAAGCCCCTTCATCGCGACGAATTATTCCCTAGGTCCCGTCAAATCGCTATACACCGTTTCCAGAACCTGAAACGGAAACTCTAGGGCGACGAAGGGCTGTACGCCGCGTATAAAGAGTTCATGTCCAATTACTAGTCGTTGGGACACATGACTATCGCTAATGATGTCGGGACGTACTACATACAACACCACCCGGTCTTCAATGCGGCGTGCAAAATACGATTGGTATTTGACGCCTCCACCAAGGGCCAGCTCGCAATTATCTCTAACCCAATGCTTGCACACCAGGCCGAAGTTGCTGCTGGATATTCTGGACATCCTGACTCACGTCTTTATAAATTTGTGTTCACTACCGACGTTTTAAAAATGTACCGGCAAATTCTCATGCGGCCGTAATACCGGGGCTTCCAACATATATTTAGGCGATCGTCACCATTGGATGAATTAAACTAATATCAACTCAACACCGTCACTTACGGATTCAATTGTGCTCCCTTCTTGGCACTACGCGTATTGAAAGATATCGCTGAAAACAAGTGCAATGACGTCCCAGAAGTCCGGGAAGGACTGAGATATCAGACCTACTTGGACGACATTTGTCTAGGGGCCGACACCGAGGGACAACTATCGAGTGTGCAGTCAGATTTAATAGCCTTCCTGGGGCGCTCCACACTTGAGCAAAAAAAGTGGTGGAACAATTCGCCTCACGTACTGTCGGAGAATGCTGCAACTGACCGAATTTCCGAAGTGATCAACTTCAATGACAAAGAAGAAGGTATGGTCAAGGTCTTAGGCGTCCGCTGGGAAGCAGTCATGGTCAATTTTGGTTTCGATGTCCACTTGGTGTCCAAGGTTGTCACCAAAGGATAGATATTATTCACCATTGCCACAATCTTTGACCCGATCGGATTCCTTGCGCCTGTGATTTTTCATGCAAAACAGATTATGCAGCAAATTTGGAAAGCTGAACAGGGATGGGACGATCCTTTACCAGATGATCTAGGTTGAATTTGGAACCTCTTACTCTATGACCTCCCAGTACTATCAAATATCGAGATACCTCGTTTTGTATTGACAATTAGAAAGTCCACCGTAGAACTATATGTATTTTGCGATGCCTCGGAGCGAGGGTATGCAGCGGTAGCATACTTGAGAGTAACTTCATCTTCAATACTGGTCACTTTGCATCTTCTTGGTTCCAAAACAAAGACGGCACCGATGAAGACCAACATCATCCCAAGATTGGAGCTATGTGCGGCCGTGCTTCTGGCCCGCAGGTTGACTCAACTCCTCACGGTTTTTGGGGACCCCGCGTGGACGGGATCTTTGCGTGTTCGGACTCTCAGATAGTGCTCTCATGGTTGATCAATCCTCACACTTGTTTCAAGGTATTTGTCTCGAATTGAATGCCTTAAGTCCGTCAATTGGTACCGTCCTGCCACTGGGGTTACGTCCGGTCGGCCGAAAATCCGGTGAATTATGCCTCCAGAGGTTTGTTGCCCTCAGACTTGGTTGAGCACTTAGTATACTGGTCGGGTCCTGCCTTTCTCAAGGACCCTGTTGAAACTTGAGATATGTCGGTTGCGGTGGTACTGTATCTGTCCAAGTTGACATTTTATTTGATATATTTATAGGTATTTTCCCAACAGGATTTTTTTTTTTTTAAATGTTTCCAATATTTTTCCCTCACGGTTTTTTTTTGTCAAATTTTCCCATTGAAATCTTTGTAACATTTTTTTTCTCCAATGCACTTCATCTTTATTAAGTAGATACCACGATTGAGCGTCTTCTGGAAAATATAATGTAAGGATTTAGAAAACCATAGTACTTTTTATTTGTATATATCAAGCAAGTCTTACTGAGTTTTAGTATCTCGGTGTCGAATGCAAATATCATATCTGATGCAGTGGGTGGTGGACACGGATAGGATTGGTTCGGATCGAAAATGAATGATACACCATACACGTCCATCGACACCTCCATTTCCATCCGTATTGAGGAGGTATACATCGTCAAATAACGGCGGTGAAAACTAATATAAAATTAAGCTTAATTTATAACGAGGTAAAATAAAAAAATAATAAAATCTGTGTTAAATGAGTGACTTACTGGAGGCGAGTCAAATGTTGTAGGTCGGACTTCGCGACTTCGCGAAACTTGGCAAAGTCCGCAGTCGTGAGGTTTTTCGCCAAGTCAGCCAAACTCAAAGCCATGAACCTACACGTGTCGATAAACCTGACGGCGAACTCTCTGTTTATGTATTTCGAAAACGATATGTATCGTTCCTCGCTATTGGGTATCACCGATATCGCGTTGGCGTCAAGTCCCAGATGCGTGACGAAAAAATGAGCGTCGTAATTCGAGAGATTATGTAAAAAGCACGGCACGAACTTTGGAGTTTTTAATTTTAGGTTGCACGTGTTACACAGTCTTGAGAAAACGGCCCAACAAGTGGTCGTGATGCGCGACTTTACAATTTCCGTCGGTGAAAGTTTTCGCACACAGATCGCACACGGTCTTCATTCCGTGCACGCGCACATCCTCGACGCTCATCGCGATCGGCACGTTGGTCGTCTTCAACAGTTTGCATATTTTTTCGGCCATATCTATGACAGCTATGACGAATCGCTTGGCTACATCGTCCACGGTCTCTGAGTCGCGAAAAATGATCGGAGTCTCCGCGGGATGTCGAACTGCTCCATCAGCTCTGCAGGTACACCGTCCGCAGCGACAACCATAAACCCATAGCTCATGGGCTGATGAGTGTGCAACGCTTCGGTATTAACACCGTATCGCTGAGTAGATTTCACGAGAAGGGCATCAAAGTCGGCGTACATAACGAACGGCAGGCGTTGCGTTTTACACAGCGCGGTGAACTCGATCATGCTCCCTTCCGGCGGCAATATAGGCAATATGGGTTTGTGGGTTCCACAGACCAAACGATGACGTGCCAACGCCTCCTCGCCGTGCAATTTATATCGCAAAGGCTGGTCGTCAAAACTGGTGAAACACTTGTCAAAAAAATAATCGATGTTCGCGACTATTTTTCGGCATGCTAGCGAGTCTCGAAAAATTCAATACATAAGTGTAGTGACTTTTTTCCCCCGAACCGGTGATCAATAATAAGTCAAAATGATCCGGCAGTTCGTCATCGACCACCCGCAGGGGGTACGCCGCCGATTCCGTCGTAGATTTTTTATTTTTATTATTTTTGCATTTTCTCACGCCATAAACGTTGAGCGATATACCGGGATTCGCTCGTTCGGATAAAGGTATCTCCGATACGGGCGTGTGGACGGATAATGTGGAAAAGTCGTAACGGTGCTCTTCGCGTAAATAATTCGCGCCTACTCTGAAACTGTTAACACGGGGCACATGCTTTGCCAAAATCGCCCATTTAAAACATTGTAGATCTATGTTTTGAGGGTTTATTACGGCCTTTCGATCTGCGATGCTTGGCGGGAGTGCTAACTATGACGAGCCACCCATGGGTGAGTACTCGTAAACCCCCAAAAGCATCTAGTCAATGCACGATAGGGCAAAGCCGCTGTTCTTGCCCGCGTAATCGTCCTCCTCGGCGAGAAGTGCGCTAAAATCACGATCTACCACACCCTCGACGTCGCTGTACGAGTACAACTCTCGGGCCCATGACTTAAAAGCACGGTTTTCGTTGGTGTTTTCCACGTTAGGTACTGCGTAGGTGGCCTCTAACTTGAGATTATATTTAATCGGATGACTTAGCACACATTCGCGTAATTTCGCTATTAATTCCGACTCAATCGAATGGAGAAATGCGCGATAACTCTTAACGTTTTCGATATTTTTTCTGAAATACCACACGGTCGTGCGTTTGAACGTAAATTGTAATTCAATAAAGCCTGGCGTATTAACCGATTGCATAAGAGCCTTTTTACGCTTAATGTTTCTGGCTTCTGCCACTGTTCTCCGTATATTGATGCGATAGTGCAGGCGGCGGGCACGCTTTATCACGGTCGAATGTCCGATTAGACGCGCCCGAGATACCAGTGATAACCGGCGCGTCGGCCGGACGTGTTGTGGAGGCAAGCCGGGGGATCGTGCAGGCGTGAGACGTGCCAGATGCGTGCGCTCGCCGATTCGTGATAGCGGCGGCCGCCGGAGACGGGACAGCAGCTGCAGCTGGCTGGGCGCGTGGTATAACGGTTGCGCGTGCGGGCGCACAGTCTATAACCGTCAGACGATCTAACACGTATTATTAAATAATATTGTTATTAAAATTGCATTATTATTATTTTTATTTAATGAGATTTTAAAAATTTACCCATTGCGTCGCCTATTCGAACCGCATTGCGGTCATCTTTAATATGCAGGTGGGCGGCCACTGCTTATTCGGAAATAATTAAATTAATAAACTATATATTATATTGGATAGTTAAAGCGTGCATTGTAATAATGTACTTACTGTGGACATTCTTGGTGTGTCGCGTTAGACTGCTCTGCTGCGTAAAAACCTTCGCACATATCAAGCATGAAATTGTTGAACCGTCGTGGATTTTTGAATGCCTGTTTAGATCACGCTTTTGTGTATACACTTTTCCGCATGTGATACAGTCGAACATTTTTACGACATTTTTACACGCACAGAATTTAATAAATAAACGTTTGAAAATATGAGCAGGACTGTTAATTAGACGTTAAACATTGTCGAGCTCTGAAAACCGTCTGATGCGAAAAACATTGACGACGGCGGTGGATAACCGAATTCTGTATATTATATATCATATTTCAGTGCCGTAACTAGGCTACTTGAGGCCTGTGTGCAAATCCAAAATATTGAGGCCCCTTATTATATTTTTCAATACACACCCCAAAAACTTTTTTTTAACTTTTTTTTAAAGTCAGCAGACAAAAATTCGGGCTTAAGCAAAAAAAAAATTTTTAATTTAAAATAATCTATAATTTTAAAACAATTTCTCAAGGCTATAACTAACTCAATAAAGTAAAAATTTTCTAAAATGTAATTTATTGAAAATATTAATATAAATATTTGGTGAAAACTTCAATGGTCTACGGTTATTAGTAGTCGAGCAATACCAAAAAATAAAATTTTTGGTTTTAGGTAAAAATGAAAATTTTTTTTTTTATTGACGCTTTTTAATATCTAAAACTAAAAATTTCGATTTCGATCTCCAAAAAGTACCAACTAGATTCACTTTTCTAACAGAAAAAATGCTGATCTCGAAATTCGGAATATTTTTACTACCCCATGTTGATGACCGACAGAAATGAAAAAAATTATACACATCTTGTAAAATCAATACATTTGTTCGTTCCTTTCGAAATCTAAAAACAGTGATCACTACTCCATGCTATATAAAAAAAATGAAATAACATTGGTTTCGTTTCCAAATCAATACCTAATAAATAATTTATATATTTTAATAATTTTATATTAGATTAATATTAGTCTTTAGATCTTTTGAGGCCCTTCGATATATTATGAGGCCCGAGGCCTGTGTGCGGTGCACACTTTGCACACCTGCATTTTACGGCACTGGGGCCCAACTCTTTATACTGTTCCCGCGTGAGACACGGTTGGGCGTTAAATCGCTCATAATAATGTTTCTGAAAATCGACGTAATTCTGATAGAACATGGTGAACAGATTTTTATCGAAACTTTCGTTGAAATCTTCATATGGATATTCCACTGAGTGTCGAATACAAATAATATACCCGATGTAGTGGATGTAGTATTTATAATCAATTTAATCAATTATGACAAAACGATTATTATTATTCGTTATCCACTACACAATGTGATAATATTATGTTCTACATCATAATAATAAAAAAAAAAAAAAATATACGAAATACGATTTTATTTTAAGGCTACTAAATTATCTCTGTGTATCACCGTAAATGATTGCATTACTGTATGTGGTATGGTATTTACCCCTAAAGATAAAAAAAATAATGAATACACTTTACGTGTGTGTTATATATATAATGTATATATTTGAATTGCGATTTTTTCCCCGATATACCAGCGAGACGGGAGTCACCTCGCCATTATTATATTGTTTAGACTGATCGACTGATATCTTGATGTAGTTTGGGAGAAATATGTTTACCGTCAATCCCATCTCTGCGTCTTCCATCCTGCACGCGATCGCCAAACCAAATTTAATTGACACCTCTTCCATAGAACTGATTTTATACGGGACGTTGATCGCCAACTCCCCAATCGATTTATTAGTATTCACCGCCCGCCTTTTGATAAGTTCTAAGAATGATTCCATTTAAATCGGCCCCCGGATACAGCTTCTATTCTATGCTAAAGTTTACCTCCATAAGGCTAAACCTGCTTTCTGATTACAAATCTAAATTATTTTTCGAACGAGGTACGCGCGGTGGGCTGACGAAATTCAGCAAGCTTTACGCCAAGGCGAACAACCCGAAGACGCCTGGGTATAAATCTGACGAACCGAACACATGGCTCGTCTATCAAGATGGTAATATTTTAAGATAATAATAATAATAATAATACACATAAACTGTCGCATGAAAAACAGATATTGAATTAATGATAAATTGTGGGGAAATTGAAGTTCAACTTTTGCCATTGCGTCGATCGTTATGTATATGTTTATAATAATATAATATAATATCGTTGTTTCCACATAGCTAATAATTTATACGGATGGATTATGTCTCAAAACATTCCTTACGGGGGGTTTTCGTGGTACGCTGGAAATCCGGACGTAGCATTAGCTCAACTCGAGTATATGGAGGAGGCAGATGACGCGGGGAGAGTCTACGAAGTCGACATATCGTGTCCGTAAAGTCTGCACGACTAGCACAATGATATGCCGTTCGTACCACACGCCAGCATTCCAAGCGGGTCTAAAGTGCGGAAATTAATGGTCACATTCGAACGTAAGGAAAACTACATTATATGAATTTGAAACAGGTAATCGCTAACGGGTTGGTCGTCGAAAAGGTAATCTTTATTATTATTATTTTTATTATAAGATTTAAGTTCTAATTTGTTAGAAAAATCACTGTTCCATTCTCCTGTTTTGACTGCGTTTAATACCTTGGCGAGAATTGTGTCTCTGCATGTTTCAATTTTTATTTTAGACCAGTCTAGAGTGAAAGGTGATTGTTCGTGGATAAAATTAAGACTAATACATTCTTCATTTTGATTATCGATTTTGAAATTTTAATTCGTGATAAAAAAATAGGCAGTATTATTTTCAGATTTTACATATTTCATTTTGAAATCAAACGATGATAGAACATAGGCCCATCGTTGTAAACGATTTGCAGCGTAGATTGGGAGGATACCTTTTATATCGCCAAAAATGTATATTAACGGTTTATGGTCAGTTTCTAATAAGAAATGCCTACCGTATAAATAGTCGTAAAATTTTGTAACGCCGAAATAATTGCCAATGATTCTTTTTCAATTTGTGGAAATTTAAACTCTGACTCGGACAGAACTCCCGATGCATAGGCTATAATTTTTTCTGTACGATCTGGGTATACATGCGAAATTACTGAGCATAAGATGATGCATCTACTACGAGTTTTATCGGAAAATTATCATCAAAATGTGCTAATACTGGTTATTAAAATTTGTTTAATTTTGTTGAATGCTTGGTTGCATTCTGGTGTCCAATTATATTTATTTTCGTTACGCAAGAGCATGTACAATGGTTTTAAAATATTCACAGCGTTTGGAATACATTTTATGTAATACGTAATTAGACCTAAAAATGATTTTAGCAATGTTTTATTTTCTGGGATAGTGGCGGTACTTATAACATCTGTGTGTTTCGTTAATGCGTGTAAACCATTTTCATCCAGCTGGTGACCCAAATATTCAATTGATTTTTTTAAAAAATTACACTTTTTATATTTTACTCTTAAACCTGCATTCGACAAAACATTTAGTAATTTGCTTAAGCGAGCATTGTGCTCTGTGATAGAAGAACCTGCAACAATAATATCATCTTGGAATATACCTATGCCCTCAAGAACTGGTGTAGAAATTTCCATAGATTTTTGGAACTCCCCTACTGATGATTTTATTCCGAAAGGGTTATGGGTATAGCTAAATAAACCTTTATGTGTGTTAATAGTGGTATATTTGCGATCAGATTCTTTGATGACCATTTTCTGGTATGCGTCTTTTAGATCTATTTTCGAAAAATACTTTGAACCACTAATATTTGCGTACAAATGTTCTATTTTTGGAAGCGGATATTCGGTGCCTTCTAATACCAGATTTATTGTTATTTTAAAATCACCACAAATTCTAACTGTGCCGTCTGGTTTTAATATTTGTATTATTATTCACTATGGTCGACGGGAAATAAAATATTACTTTTAACTAAACGCTCTATTTCGGTTTCAACTTTGCCTTTAAATGTTAAAAGAATAGACCTCGGTTTGTAAAATTTTGGTACCGCCCCTGCTTTGATATTTAATGAAATTTCGTAATTGTTAAAAGTACCTACTTCATCTTTAAAAACATTGTTATATTTACTTTTAATACTGTCGACAGTTACGTCATTTTCAATATTAAATAACGTAGAACATTTTATATTTTTTATATCATTTCGACCTATTAGTTGCGGACCACCATTGTCGATTACATAAAGACACATAGTACATTTTTTGTTTTGATACTCTGAATCGACAAATATTTTTCCCATCGGTTTAATGTCATTGCCGACGTAATCAGTAGCGAAATGTCGTTTTTTTTTTTTAATTCGATATGACTAAACAGTTGACGATATAATCTTTTTGAAATTACGCGGTGTTGTGAACCGGTATCAATTTCGAAGTTAACATTGTTATTTCCTACGATTAAATTTATTATAAACAATTTCACCGCGGTATTTTGAAAATTTTGATCGATTATAGAAAAAAAGTATTAGAAAGATCATGAGTTAACTGTTTTGTCATCATCTTCGTTATTAGATAAAAATGTATTTTGTGTTTTATTATTTTTCATTTCTTTCTTACGCTTTATACTGTCGTATACTCCGATGACAGACGTACACAAATAAACAAACGAAAAATAATATAAGCACTTTTATTAAAAAACTTTTACGTCCAGTGGCGATCGAGTCACAAGTTCACCACCTGGCTCTAACACTGGTGCAACACACCTCCTCGGTTTGTCAAACCCAGTGGCTGTCGATATTTATACCTAACTCTATCCAGTTAAGGAGTAGTTGGTTGGCTATTCCCACTACACGAACCGGTCCTTAGATCCGGGTTGTTGAATTGATATAAATAAAGTTTTCTGAGTTATATTTTACAGGTCCTAGAAACTTATGACCTGCGTTCACAAACTAACACAATTAACACGATATAGCAACGAATACAATGTTTTATTCAAGACTAAAGTAATTATAATATTATAACCAATAAAATACACTATCACCTGAGTAACCCTGTTCTTAAGGGTAGTATATTGAAGATAACAGGAGTAGCGGAGTACGAGTTGAACAATACTGAATTATTATAATTTAACTATTAGGTACGTTATTATATACTTAAAGTTAATCAATTAATTACGTTTAATAATATTGTAAATATGACTATAGTAGACTGATGTATAGTCTCTATTTCACGGATCCAAACTCGACTGGCTGCTATGCCAATAATATATAATATGCTCGTACTCTACGTTCCTGTTTTCTGTTTACCTAAGCAAATTCGCCGAGTGTGACATAAATGACGAGTCAGTAAACTGCGAATCGTTACAGTTACCCCCCTCGCCACTTAAAATCTGCCCTCAGATTTTAAATTGAAAAAAATAAAAATTAAAAAAAAAATAAAAACTGTAATCAAAGGTATGTTAGTAAACACGTGATTATACCTTGGTTATTTTCCTGATGAACATCTATTCCATACTTCTAAATGGATATAGCCTTGTCGGAAAATCCCTCATTTAATCTTCTCAGGATATAACACGGTTATATTTTACTCATTTAAATTTAAGTTACTTTTGGTGGTCATGTCATTATTACGTTATTTTTTGAAAAGAAGTAAAAGAAAAAATAAAAAAAAAATAGAATTACATGTATAATATACACTATATTATATACATATAGATTATACACATAAAATAAAAATTATACATTATAAAAATTGTATTTATTCATTATTGCTTACCTATCCAATGAAAAACTTTGCCAAAAATTGGATAAGTTTACAGATTATTTTGTCACAAAGTAGACATGCCTTAAAATTATAACTATAGATTTGGGTTTACAATGTTTAGAACAATAGTGGTTCTCAGGTTTACATAACGCCATAATAAACAAAAACTATTTGTTAGTAAAAAAAAATATCAAGTATATAATAAAAGTATAAAGAAAACGTCATTACTGTATAGCCGTTAAAACAGCTGTTTAAGAATGTCGTTCATAACATCGTAAATCATTGCTCTTGTTTTGCTACTTATTCTGAAATCATCTATGATTAGTATACAGTGTATATTTTATTATATCAAAAATATTATTAACATCGTCATCATTCATTCATCAATAACCACGCATACGTTTTGTACTATGTCATATCCAATTGGAAACAGGGAACAAAAGTAACAAATAGTCTCTTTGTTTGTTATAATGAAAAATACTTTGAAATCCTATTCAAATTTAATTTTATTTAGTATCTAAAACGAAGTGGTATGATGTGTGCCTCATAATTATCGATAATGTAAATCTCATTGTTTGTCTTGACCATAATTCCTTTAATGAAAGTTATAGATGTCTATAGTTTCATCCAAAATAAGTATAATTAAAATAATATAGTATACCTATTTCGTTCTGTACCAAAACTTGCGCTTTATTCGTTAATTTAATCGTTTAAATACTTGGTTTTCATATTTTAAACGTAAGTATTTATAAGAATAAAATTATTCATAAATTGGCTAATACTTTGCCTTTTTCGGTATAACTGCTAGTAGTAAAAAAAAATTTTACCTACTTTATCATAAAAATTATGTCTTTCCTTGTAATATATGACAAGAATAAGGAAACACAAATTTAGCATCGTAATATTTTACGCTTTTGGTCATTTTATATATGCGTATAAATAAATTTCATCAAAATATATTTTTTTGAATGTATATAGTTTAGGTCATTTAGATATATTTTTCTCAATTTTCATATCTATCCATGTTTGAAATACTTGATAAGAGATTGTTCTAGGTGGGGTCAATGTGGACACATTATGAAATGCCGACTCACAAGGTCTCTTTCTAGAATTTAAATATCTAACAAATAATTTTTTTGAACATAATAAAAATTGATTTATTATAACTCTAGTTGTACCTAAACTCTGATACTTATTATACTTTTAATGAAGTCATAACAATTTTTGAATACTTTGAAAAACTTTTAAGTAAGTTTATTAATTATATGTCTTCGTATAAATAAGGACACACAAACAACGCATCTCTTGCACATTAAGTTTTTTTTTTTTTTTTGCAACCATTGATTTTACTTTCATTATAGTATTATACATAGATTATTGTAGAATATATTATGTATTATATTATTATTGTTTCATTTAAATATTATGTAATTATTTATTCTTTAAACGAGTGCGACTAATGATTTACTTGACGTATTTGTAATGTTTGGGCTAGTGTAGCCCCTAAAAGTACATTCTGCATTTATTTCTAATATTTTTATAATTTTTTTTTTTATTTTTAAACTGGTGCATCTACATAACTTTTTTGACGTCTACGTATTGGTTGGGTTGTTGCGGTTTCTAAAAAATAACTTCTGCATTTATTTTTGATATATTTTATGAT